GTGAGACAAAGATATAGGGATGGTGTCATGTAGCTTGGTGCATCTTTGCTGTGTAATGACCCCTTGTTTCTTCCTTTTGGTGCTTCAAGCCATCCCCTTCATTTTGAAGAAATGCTTTTTCCACTTGTAATAATATCTAACAAGTAGTAGTGTATGTAGCTACATAATATGTAGCTAACTTGCAAGACAAAACACTACTTACAATGCTGGTGCTGTTTACAAAATTAGTGGCTCCAGATTAACAGGTGGAGTGGCCTCGCCCCATCTGGAGTGTGCCACATGTCGGGAGTTTAAAGAGGCCGAAACATGTGGTACATGATGAAAGCTGGGAACTCCCCTGATGACCGGTTACAGTAGTAGCATATCCCGCAATAAAAAGCCTTATTTGAATGTATTAAGGATGCCAGAGGTGCTGCGGGTGCTGTTGTGTGGCAGCACAAAAGCATGTGTTTTTGCTCCACTCACACAACCTCTACTGTGATAATTATGTTTTGAATAATATGTATCTTACCACACATTTTCATACAGAGTAGGGGTGGGTGTATGATTTTCTGTTGTTGGCTGAAGCATCTTCTTGTCGGCATCCTTTTTCATAATTTACGCCATCCCTACATCCCCCTTCATTTTGAATAAATGATTTTTCCACTTGTACTAAGTACTATATACCATACTTAGAGATCAAGAAGAAATTGCTCTATGGCACCACTTTTACTCTTCACTTAAACCCAGACACACCCTGCATCTATCACTTTGTATGTCCTTGCTCAACCTGTCCTTCTAAACCAATCTCCTTTAATTAACCCTCGGCGCGCATGTGCAGCGAAGGTTACTGTACTTGGTCCGTAAGTGTGTCTGTCTCTCTGTTACCACGTTTTCTGCAACCACGCACAACGAGACAATGAAAGAGCGATACCAAAAGGTTCAGCGCTATACCGGCTTGATTTTAAATTCGTAAAGGCAGTGCGTTCGACAGTTATGGCGTGAAAACCAAGTTAACAAGCCAATATGTTAATCAGTAATCTACGACGCTAGAAATAAACGCATGCGTGTGTTACATTGGCGGTTTGCGCACATTTTTCTCCGTAAATAGCACAGTTGTTGAGCAGCCAGGGTTTAATTTTTCTAGTGAGGGCAGCGCTAGAGCAAACTTCTGGTTGTTTCTGGTGAAAATACTTTTTTTGAGCTGGCAATCAGCACTCGTACATTCCGCGCGTTGCATGCAGAGGGGGCCGACCGATGGAGAGCGATAGACGTCTGAAGAAGGTATGTCCGCAGTGTCACACAACAGTACATGATAGACGGGCAGTTTGCGTATGTGAGCATACCTTTCCGTCAAAAAGGAAAGCGCAGTGTATTGCCATAAAGGAAGCGATGAAACATCGAAGAACTTTAGAGACTGAAGAAGAAAAATTTGCGACAACAGAGCAAGACAGACTACGTAAAAACAGAGCACAAGGGCAGCTGAAACATGAAGTGATAGACTGCGAAATGACATGAAACGCTTGAGGAGGATGTTTCTGATGGCAGGAACCTGACCGAGGCAATGACAAACAGCTGTGTGAGAGTTGCGAGGCAACTTCCAGATCCTCCGTAGGTGATGGTTTAGTGCCACTTGAATGATATTTATATCACGAGTGGAGAGAGACCAGAGAACGCAACCGTACAGTGATAAACAGAATGATTTTTTAAAAACTTTTGACAGATGGATTGACACATTTAAAGGAACTGAGAACGTAGTTGGCTTTGCGATTCAAATCTTTGGTGGCTCTTATGATGTCGTCTTTGTCTCGCAGGTTGAAGGTAAGAATGTGGCCGAGATGAGATGCTTTGTCAGTGAATTGCAGTTTGTTACCATTCATGTATATCGATACAGGGTATTCTTTTCGTGGAGAACGCCGAAAGCAGATTAATTGTGACTTGGTGGTGTTGAACTCCAGACCATGACAGAAGGCATAGTTACAGCAAATGTTCAACATGATTCTTGGAGCAGAGGGACAAGGAGCGAGTAAAACAATGTCATCAGCGTAACATAAACACCCAGCAAACTAAATTTTCCCAATAACAACCAACACCACTTTCAACCAATTCAGACAACAAACCATCCAGATACACAGCAAAAAGAAGAGGAGAGAGAACACTTCCCTGACAATCTCCATTAGAAACCCTAAACGAATCGGAGAGACAGGAACCCCAACGAACACGACATTCTTGAGAGCTATACCAAGACAACAAGAAACGAAAAACGAGCAGTGGAAGGCCACGCTCTAGGAGTTTGCGAAATAATATGTTATTATCAACATGATCAAAGGCATCTAAAAGAACAACCATAAACATAAGAACCATTGTTGATGTAGCGTGATACAACATTCTTACCATGCCCGTACAAAGAGATGTAGAGCTGTGGGACTTGAAGCCAAACTGCAGGTGACTACTGGTAAAGAACTCAGAATATTTATGAAGAATCAGCCACTCCAGAACCTTGCTCAATGTAGAGGAAAGAGCAATGGGACGATAGTTGGAACTCACAGATGTATCTTTGTTGCTCTTTGGGACGGGAACAAGAATTGAATCCCGCAATAGTGGTGGCATATACCCATGACGGACAATTGAGGTAAAGAGCTGCGAGAGCGGTAAGGCAATTACAGAGCGGGATAGCTTTAGGTGTTCACAGATGACATAGCCAGCACCAGATTTTTTCGACTTTAGCTGACCAATAGCATCAATAATGTCATCTTCCGTAAAACATAGATCGTCAGACACAGAAGAAGAGTGAAGATTGAAGTAAGGGATTAGAAGAAATCTCTGCGTACCTTGGAGGCACCATAAATTGCAACACAGGGCGAGTATCGACTCCTTCATGCTATCTAGTAGTATAGCTAGCCTGTCACAGACTCTCAGCGAGCTGACCACGAGCGAGTAGATAGCCCAATCCATCAATTAGCGATACGGCGCATGCGCGTAAGCTTTATAAACGCGCACGCTTTAGTGAAAAGTTGTTTGGTGAAATTTCTAGCCCTAGCCTTAGCCCTTCCAATGTTGATTTGGGATCTTATATACACTTAGTTATAGCACACAGTTATTTTTTGAGAAGATAAGATGTCACTAGAGAGTGTACTTGTCACAGCCATAGCTTTACTGTTAGTTCTGAGCTGCCAGGCACTGCTTCAGTTTGAACAGGAGGGGTACTTTCTGTCCAACAATTCCTACATCTACTATAATGATATTGGTGATGGAGACTATGCTCTAAAGTGTATGACTGACAGTGATAACTGCTGCAATAACACTGATGTTGGTGGCTGGAGTGATGAGAGTGGGAGACCAGTCTACCAGGGAGCAGATGGGACCACTTGTCTGTATGTCACTAGAGGATATGGAGTGATCAGTCTACACCGCAAGCGAGGTTGTACTGACCACACATCAGGACTGTGGAGATGTGATATACCTGATTCCAGTGGAGAGATGCAGAGCCTCTATGCCTACATCGGCAATAGAAGATCACATGGTGAGCCATTTCTTATACTACCTTCTGGTATTCACACTTTACAATATACCATGTTTACCTTTTACTATACCATAATACAGGACAATTGGCCTTGCTGTCAATGAACTTCACTCTACACACTGAGCTCAGAGCAAGTGTTCCTGAATTCACTATCTCCTGCCGTACTCATGGAGGACCTGCCACAGCTGTCCACTGGACAGTAAATGGAGTCCCACTACAGGAAGACAGATATTATGAGACCAGTCAGCTCATACTGGACCCATCTCTCAACTCTGTGTATGACAACAGATTGAGAGTGAGAGGAAGAAGAAATGGGACCTACAACTGTACCATCAGCAATAATATTAGAGATTACTTTCAACATGGAGTATTTGTTACCCAAGTTAATGGCACCCTAAATATATCTGGTAATGCTAAATAGGTTTTAATTCCGTTTTGCTATCTGCTTGTTTTAACACAGCTCCAGGAGAGCCCACTGGTCTTACTGCAGTCATCTCTGAGTCCAACAGTACACATGTTAATATCACTGTGTCTTGGGAGTCACCAGGTGATCCTGTCACTGGCTGTGTCATCTACTACCAGCCTAAGGGAGGACCAGTCATCAGTGACAGGGTGTCTGGAGGAGAGACAGACACACACTCACTGGATGGTCTTCAAAGAGGAGTCACCTACTACATCTCCATAGTGGCTCTGTCACCTCACCTACCCAGTCCTCTGGTTGGACCTATCACTGTCATTCAAGGTGAGTCACTTACCTCTCCTTCCAGCCACCTGCTTACATTACCCACATATTGGTGCAGCAATGGCTTCCAGTCCTGCCACTATTTATGTTACTAACACTGCTACAAGTGCTACAACTACTAGTCTCATTAGCCCCTTCACCACCACCAGAGGTGAAACGCTGATACCTTAAATTATTGTTGCCCCACCATTTAACTATGTTTTTATAGCGCTCACTTCTTCTGTCACTGCACTTACAACGACTATGGCTGGTCGAGAGACAACTACATCCATCATTGAGTCTAGCGCTAATTCTCAAGTCACTATTACCGCAACTACTGTCATTACCATGGTTTTCACTGGCACCCCTACGACCACTCCCACCAGTCATATGGTCATTGCCTCTCCAGTCAGTCAAATGTCCACATTTGTGAAAGGTGAGTCGATCAAACGAAACTCAATGTCTATCAGGCTTTTGTACCTCAGATATGGAGCAATGTACTAAAACAATCACTCTCACCACCACGGTCGCTTCTACTCCTGTCAGTGAAATGTGTGCATGTACTAAAGGTGAGTTGATCCAAACACTATAATGGCTATATAATATAAGACTTTCTGTACATCTCAGATGTTGACAAGGAGCCATGTAGTGCTGAGAGCACTGCAGTAATGTCAGATCCTTGTCATTGCCATATTTTGCATCTGCAACAGGTATTAGTGTTTTCACAGAGCGTAACATGGTTTGTTGTGTTAGGTTGGACTTTGGTTTAGTTTAGCTAGCTAAACAATGCCCCTTGCTGTCTTTACAGATCAACATACAGTAAGAAGGTGGAGACCCACAGTAACACAGCCTATGGAGTGGTACCAGCAATAAGAAGAGAGGAACCAGAATATGAAGTGATTTATATATTTTATTTTTATTTTTAAAAAATTTTAATATATATTGATTAATTGTTTTTTTATGAAATATTTTAATATAAATTATTATATTATTTTAAAATATTCTTATACTTATTATAATATATTTATTTTTTGATCTACAAACTTCTTCTCCATTTCACTTTATAAACCAAACTTTTTTCCACACCCATTCCTTTCTTCTTCTTCCCTATTTTCTTCTTTTCCTTCTTCCCTTGTTTCTTCGTCTTTTCTTCATTCCTCTTTCTTTCTTTTCTTCTATTTACCTCTCTGTCTCTTGCTTTCTTTCTCCTTTCTTTACCCATTTCCCTTCTTCTTTCCTTTCCTAATCCTTTCTACTTTTTCTCTCTTTCTCGTTGTTCCTTTTATTCTCTCGTTTCTTTTCTTCTTTCTTTATCTTTTTCTCTCCTTCACCTTCTCCTTTCTATCTTTCCCTCCTTTCTTTTCTCCGTTCCTTCTCTTCTCTTCGTTCACTCTGTCTTTTTCTCCTTCTACTCCTCCTTCGTTTCCCCTTCCTCCTCTTTTTCTTTCTTGCTCCTTTCTCTCCTATTTTCCTGCCTGCCTTTTTTATCCTTCTCTTCTTCTGACATCAGCCTCTGCCGCTGTTCCCCTCCTCTGTCTCGCCCTGTTGCCCACTGCCTCCCTGTGATGTGTACTGACTACACTAAAAAGCTAACACTTTATTAGTTTTAGTTTAGCGATTTTGGCAGTGCATAGTATAGAGCCATTTGCATGAATATTAGTTGCTGTGTAGGTTAAAACATTTACAAAGCAGTCAGAAATAGAACTAAAATTCATGTGTATTTGCACAGCCATAATTATCCTGTTGATGTGTGGGATGAAATATGAGTATGAGGAACATGAAATGACTGTCAACTGAAGTAAGTAGAGTCTAACACTGATTTAGATCCAAATCACCTGAGTTATATATGAATATGTGGACAGTTAAAGAAAGAAAGCATAAATTAGAAAAAATAACGAATTTGGACGCACCAATTGTAGGAAAAGGATCTCTGAATTTGCATTTCTGAATCCTTTTCTCTTCTCATAGCGAGTTGTCTCTGTACCTGCAGTAGTACAAAGGTTTTGAAATCGAGGCATACAAGGAAGTTCACAAGGGGTGGATGGTGTATGCGTGTGCATTCGCGTGATCGCAAGCTGACTCAACCTATCAATCTCAGAATTTGCGACCCGTTGAGAAATTGTTCTGGGCATTCACGTTGACTTTAAAAGGACGACTTGAGCTTTGCTACCCCTACAGCAGGCAGTGCTCAGAGAGAGGTAAAAGGAAGGAGGGAGTCTAATGTAAAGGCTCATTGCTATGTAAAAGTAATGTTCCAAATAACAAGCTTTTCATGGCTATAAGATAAAGATGTTTCAGTCACGTAGACCTTCATCACACAGTTACATATTCCTGAAGAGAGTAAGGTTTGTGTCTCACGTGAGATCTCCAAACTTGTGCTCCAGGAACTGAGCCAGGTCTGACAGAATGGGCTCATTGTGGAGAGTCACAAACTGTTCTCGGCATAATTATCTGTATGTCACAACAGAGAGATAGAAACAGAGGCGGAACTAGAATGCGAGGGAGAACACGAGAATCACACATGTGCCACGTTTACAATAGGGTGAAATTTCAGAATAGTCCATTATGTGCGACAGATGTATAATGGATAAACAGCGCATTCAAACGACTACATAAAATAGACTAGCTTTGTTCGCAAATAAATATTTTGTTCATGAATACAAAAGTGAAGCAAAAATGATAATGCTTCCACTATTATAGCCCAACAGTGAGGGAAAACCTAATAAACCTAGTAGCTACCCTAATTCAACATTCAAGAGTCAGAATCTGGAATGATTTCTACAAAACGGGCGCGGGTCCAGTAGCTGTCGTGCACTGCCACAAACGATATCCCGGCCCTACATACGTACAGCATAGCATTAGTGCAATGTTAAAATGATTGGGGTGATATTTCTATTTATGTTTGTCAAATTTCGCTGTCACACAGGATTTCACCGGCTAGCTCAACCCCCTTCACTGTACGCACTTGGCCACTTTATTCTCATTCGTAACTTCACTTTGGTAATATTTATGTATTGTATCGTCATTTCTGTTCTATTCCCATCATTGGGGGCAAACATCTTTGACTGCAACAACTGCGACTGTGGCATGTGGACTCAGCTAGATTCTGCGCTCCTTGACCACTGCAGGCTTGTGATTGCTGTTTATTAACCCTCGCCTGCGCACATGCGCAGCGAGGGTTATTATTAGTGTGTGTGTGTGTGTGTGTGTGTGTGTGTGCGTCTGTCCGTCCATCTGTCCACCGTTGTTCTCGGTAACTGCGGCAACTCTGAGCGTGAAACGTGGACAATAAGAGGCATGCATGGTAAACTAAGATTCTGGAGCGGAGAAAGCCTGGGAAGCTGGTGAAACGGACGGCTGTCGAGGTGAGTGTGCGTGGCGAGGGTTATGCACTTTCAAGTGCTTTTCATTCTACCTGAACAATTCAGTACATGAGTACAGTAGCTACAGGGAGGGCCATACCTGTCTCACACGTGTCTCCAAATTAGTTTTTAGGGGGAGGAACTTATTTCTTTGCCCTGTGGCCCAGTGATGCATACCTCCAGTTCAAGTATATACTAGCAAGCACAGAATCATGTGCGCTGGACAAGATTTTAATGCAAAATGTATACACACTCTCAGAAGAATAAGCGCCATATTTTGTTGTTATAGAGACTTTGCCATTATTAAGTGAGTTGACTCAGGGTCTTATGTACACTTCATGCTGCTTACTATAACAGCAGCATAATCATCACACCATTAAACTTTGAGGAATGAAGTTGTCACTAAAACATGCAGTGCTCGTAGCAGCTGTAGCCTTGCCGTTTGTTTTTAATGCCAGTCACTGCCTCAATTTGAACATGAGAGATACTTTCTGTCCAACAATTCCTACATCAACTATTCTGATATTGATGATCGATACTCTTCTATGAGGTGTGTGACTGATAATGTCAACTGCTGCTGTAACTCTACTGTTGGTGGCTGGAAAGATGAGAGTGGGAGACCAGTCTACCAGGGAGCAGATGGGACCACTTGTCTGTATGTCACTAGAGGATATGGAGTGATCAGTCTACACCGCAAGAGAGGTTGTACTGACCACACATCCAGGACTGTGGAGATGTGATGGCAAAGGTGTTTAGCTACTCGAAATCGGGGTAGATGCATTGGAGATTTCGTAAAACAAACAGGAAGTGGATCGTCAGATATTTTATACTGCAATGAAGAAAGTGTGAAAGGAAGAGGAATGGCTGTTGTCATGAAAGAAGCAGATAGATTTTTTTCAGATAAATTTACCCTCCCCCTGAAGGGATGGAAAGTTGTGACCCATTTATCTGATAGGCGCAAGAGTTTATGTTGCTGCCAAATCAGCAATTTTTTTCCTTTGTAATGTACTAATGTGCTAATGTAATTGTAATGTGCTAATGAGCATGCACCCACTGCCAAAAATGCACTTTATAGTAGCTATATACCTCTCTCTGCAGTACATACATACTGCAATGCAGAGTGACTAAGTGCAAACTTGGCCCAGCCTGTGCCCTGCTAATTGGTGGGCCAGCTGCTAGCAGAACCCAGGCCTTCCCCATTATCAACATTATCAACGTGGTGTATAGTAGCCAATACACTTGAGCATGCACGGAATAATTTGTGCATGGGCGATTTTCTACCGTAAAGGTGTCTTGCGGACCAGTCCATCACCGTCACTGTGTGAACTCTCATAATTATATCACGGTGAAACGATGTACCAAGTTTCATTGTTAGAGGATCCACCATAAGCAATTTATAGGCACAAACATCATTTACAAGTGGTTTTTGAGACATTAAATTGAACAACAACAATGAGAAGAAATTTGAAAACTGCATGACTTCTTTGAATAAATCAAGTACCAATTATGCTAATTAAGCCATTTTTTTTGGATACATGCTCTTTTTGTTGGTATGGATCAGTCTGATGTATCAAAAGTTGGATCTGATTGAAACTGAAAGAAAAACATGAAAATCTCCGATGTTTGGGCATAATGCTTTATAACCTGTGTCATCGCATCCTGTACTAGCTACCATACTTAGTGATAATTATTATCTCCTTCTTGTTTATGTAATAGCTACAGTAATCCCCAAAATGAAACGGACAAGAGTTGTGGTAGCTGCTGTACCACTGGTTGTGTTTGCTGCAGTTTCCTTTCTGGCATATGGACTGAGTGTCAGCTTCAGACTTCCTACACCATTTAATGAAAGTTAGTGATTCCTACCTACACACACAACTACCATCTGTATTGACATGACCCCTTTTTGATGCATTAAAATAATGCTGTTATCGTATGTCATTTTGCCACAGTTCTTGTGGAAGGTGAACTTGTGTTGTTGATAAAGAACTACAGAGTTTCATACAATGTTACATGTGTTAGCTCACGTGCTTCATAACTAGTACCAATTGATTTCTGTTTGCAGTAAAAGAGCCAAGGCATAATTTCAACCTCATTAACCCTCGGCGCGCATGCGTAGCGAGGGTTACAGTACTTAACTTGGGTCTGTCGTCCGTGTGTCTGTCTGTTACTCTACATCTCACCTCTCGAATGTCTGTTCGTCCCAGAAACGATACCATCTACCCAACGGGCGACGAAGGTAAGAAAATATGTGTGGTTTTCTCTGAAAATGCTCCGTTGCAGAGCTAGAGCGCGAAAAAGCCAATATGCAAATACGCAACGGACGGGAAGGCTTACCGCGGTCTGATCGATCCGCGTGCTCTGCGTACCTTGGAGGCACCAGAAGATGCAACGCAGGGCGTGTATCGCCTCTCGCATGCTATCTAGTAGTGTAGTTAGCCCGCGTCAGACTCTGCGCGAGCTGGCAAGAGACCACGGGTAACAGCTAAAACTAAACCCAGCCCATCGATTAGTGATACAGCGCATGCGTTGACTCACGCGTGCGCGTCACAATGTGCCGAGGGTTGCTGTCAGTTAAGTGAGAACTCACTTCTCCAGTCATAGATCGCGTCCAAAACGGGGTTTACATACCCAGCGGCCGACGGAGGTCAGAAATTATGTGGGATTTTCTCTGAAACTGCTCCGTTGCAGAGCTAGAGCGTTTTCCTGTTCGTATGGTACGGCCATTTTAACAACGCGCATGTGTGTATACTCAAAAACGCACGCGACTCCGAGGCGGCAGGCGGCCAAAGCGCCGCGACCACGTGGCCAGCAGCCATTTTGTTTTCCCTCATTTCTCTGTGAGAGAAGACGGTTGAGTTCAGTAAGTATGCCTCCAACTAAGGCGTTTGAATTGTAGCTCACTAGGCTAGGCTTGGGAGGAAAGAATAATCTTCTCTATGAACCTAAATGCAGAACCAGTAAGTAGCTACAACAATTCTACCAGACATGGTGATACCATTGCCCCACCCATTACTTTACATTCACTATTATCACTGCGCCGAGGGTTTGCACTTCAGTGCCTTTCATTGTCGTGTGTGTCATTCTGTCAGTTAAGTGAGAACACTTCTCCAGTCATAGATAGCTCAGTGAAACCAGATAGACGGACAGACAGAGAAAAAGGTAATTGATTTTTTTTATTTTATTCACTGGCCATTAACCCTAGGCCTTGCACACACACAGCTGGAGCACACCAAAGGGAGGGGTGTGTGCCCACTGGGTGGTGTTACAGGGCCATCATAGAGTAATGGCCTCCAAAAATTAATGTAGGTTCCCCTCCTAAACCCATTGAATGGGCCAGCTCTAGAGAGCCAGCCAGCTTAGCCCAGGGATGCTAGCCCTCACCTTATATAGCAGAAAAGAGCAGGAACAGTTGTGGTTTTTGTTAAAATTTCATTGCTGTCAATCTATATGGGAGTGGCCTCACAACTAACAGGTTTTAACATGCAGTTGACCATAGACCAAAGAGCCACACAACTACTGAATATGCCATACTTTAGTAGTAAGGATAAGGGCAAGAATAACAACGCGCATGTGTGTATACTCAAAAATGCACGCGACTCCGAGGCGGCAGGCGGCCAAAGCGCCGCGACCACGTGGCCAGCAGCCATTTTGTTTTCCCTCATTTCTCTGTGAGAGAAGACGGTTGAGTTCAGTAAGTATGCCTCCAACTAAGGCGTTTGAATTGTAGCTCACTAGGCTAGGCTTGGGAGGAAAGAATAATCTTCTCTATGAACCTAAATGCAGAACCAGTAAGTAGCTACAACAATTCTACCAGACCTGGTGATACCATTGCCCCACCCATTACTTTACATTCACTATTATCACTGCGCCGAGGGTTTGCACTTCAGTGCCTTTCATTGTCGTGTGTGTCATTCTGTCAGTTAAGTGAGAACACTTCTCCAGTCATAGATAGCTCAGTGAAACCAGATAGACGGACAGACAGAGAAAAAGGTAATTGATTTTTTTTATTTTATTCACTGGCCATTAACCCTAGGCCTTGCACACACACAGCTGGAGCACACCAAAGGGAGGGGTGTGTGCCCACTGGGTGGTGTTACAGGGCCATCATAGAGTAATGGCCTCCAAAAATTAATGTAGGTTCCCCTCCTAAACCCATTGAATGGGCCAGCTCTAGAGAGCCAGCCAGCTTAGCCCAGGGATGCTAGCCCTCACCTTATATAGCAGAAAAGAGCAGGAACAGTTGTGGTTTTTGTTAAAATTTCATTGCTGTCAATCTATATGGGAGTGGCCTCACAACTAACAGGTTTTAACATGCAGTTGACCATAGACCAAAGAGCCACACAACTACTGAATATGCCATACTTTAGTAGTAAGGATAAGGGCAAGAATAACAACGCGCATGTGTGTATACTCAAAAATGCACGCGACTCCAAGGCGGCAGGAGGCCAAAGCGCCGCACGCTGACTGGGACCACGTGGCCAGCAGCCATTTTGATTTTCCCTCATTTCTCTGTGAGAGAAGACGGTTGAGTTCAGTAAGTATGCCTCCAACTAAGGCGTTTGATTTGTAGCTCACTAGGCTAGGCTTGGGAGGAAAGAATAATCTTCTCTATGAACCTAAATGCAGAACCAGCCGAGGGTTTGCACTTCAGTGCCTTTCATTAGATATCAGTGTTAGCTGTGCTGTACAACGTGTCTATTGCATTGGGATCAGCATGATCATAGATTGTAAACCATTTACCTCAACTGGATAAGTAGCTATACAAAGCAGAACTTTGAGAAAAATGGCTAAATGATAGCTAGTAACTGGTGACGGACATGGATTGTTTATGCATTACAAAATATCTTTCTATAATTAATTTTCAAAGGATGGTTCTGCAAAATTTAATTCATATCTGTTTGCAGATTGTGTTAACTGGCTGAAGTCATGTGAAGAAAACTGTGTCCAAAACAGTACTACCCCCATACCCAAACATGTCCATTTTGTGTCTCTGAATCATCCGTTCTCATTCATGGAATGGCTGGCAGTAGTGAGTGCCAGGAACAAGATAAAGCCAGACAAGATCACTGTCTATACTGACGGACTACAAGACAGCTGCTGGTGGAGACGTGCTCTCCCATACATTGACCACCAAATCATTCACACATTGCCTGGGGCTAACGTTTTGAATCGTGTTCCCATCAAACTTCTACCACATAAATCTGATTTTCTTCGTCTCTCCATCCTCTATCACAGTGGAGGGATATACATGGACACTGACATTCTTAGTTTGAATTCGTTCGACCCTCTCCTCAAGCACCAAATGGTACTGGCTGAGCAGTGTCACTATGCTCTGAATGTGGCTCTAATGATGGCACAGAAACACAGCTGTCTGGTGTGCAGGTTTGCTCACTACAGCTGTGAGAGATTCGATGGTGGGTGGGTTCATCATTCTGTCGATGCACTGTCATCTTTCATCAGGGGTTTAGACAAAGAGAAGGAGGGTGTGCTGGTGGTTCCTTGGAAAAAAGGGTTCCACCCAATGTGCTGGAATGCCAACGGAATCAATCAACTCTACAAGGAAAATTTTAACGACATTCCCGACTACAATAGATCAGAAATCTACTCTGTTCACCTGTACAACAACAAGGCTAAGAATCTAATACCTAAAACACTGCACAATTTTGACTGGATACAGACCAGTACATCTCTAGTAGGTCTTACTATCAGGGAATCTCTGCCACCTGGTTTCTCCAAACATCATTTGAATGAGTCTTCGCGGTGCACTGATATACAGCTTCCTAAATGACTTTTTGTGGCATGTCACATTATTTCCATAAGTTTTTCCATAATTATATTGTTATAATTTATGAACCACGGGATGTCAACGCATAGCTAATTGAACTATTGTAGCTACACCTAGAGAAACGTGTGAAAAGCAGGTGCCCTAGGTTGGACTCAAATCCAAGATACTTATAGAGCTACATACTACTGAGCTACCCGGCGGCTCAGCTGACACTAGGGGGTGAACCCTGCAACAAAAATGCCATATCAAGCGAGAACCCCAAACACTTTGTATGCCCTTTGCACTGTCTAGGTCAATAATATGAAGCGGTAATTTTTCAAAATAATACAAGTGTTTCTTAAAAATGATGGGGATATAGGGATGGCTTGAAGCACCAAAAACGAAGAAACAAGGGGTCATTAAAGCAAAGATGCACAAAGCTACATGACACCATGTGTTCGTTTTTGGTGCTTCAAGCCATCCCCATATCCCCTTCATTTAAAAAAAAGAAGAAGATTTTTCCACTTGTTTCCACAATTTTTAACGGCTTATCTATGACAACACTGCACTTCCAGTGACTCTGATGTTCATGGGTATGTTGTAGAGAGGTTGACCATGGACAAACTAACTGGTGAATGCAGTAGCTAATGGGCTGCTGGTGCCTGAAGCAGGGTGTATATGTAGTGTCTCCAACAAGGACACAATTAGGTTGTGGTTTCATGGGCTTTAGGAATCAGACGACAATGACCTGGGGGACACTGAAGGCTCATTTGTGCGCCAGGCAAGGCTCGCGTAACAGACTCTGCCAAGTTGTTCCTCGTGCAAATCAACAGCAAAATGTAAGCTAAGTAGCCATACTGACTTGCAGACACCTGGAGGCTGAGAGTTCCTCTGCAGTCTGCAGACCAGTCAATCCGCCTGGTAATGTGTGCCCAGCGTGGTATGAACAACGCCCCCGGCGGCCCGACCCTTGCCTGGCGCATGCGCGCGGCTCACTGATGCTGAGTTCGAAGCAAATGGCGTTGTTCAGTGTCGACCATGGAAGAGCTCCACGATCTACTCTAGTGACTCGCATATGAGCGAAGTCTCGCGTAAGAGATCTTTGGGTAGATGTAGCTAGCTATAGCTGTGGGTAGGGATTTCCGACAACAACTGAAACCTTACAAATGAAATTTAATTAGCAGCAAAAATTTCTACATGGTAAAAATTTGACATTCAATCTCGACCCATTAAGAAAGTGGTACCATTGTAAGCAGACATTTTCATAACTTCAGAAACGAATGACCGATTTCTTCGCCAGGTAACTTGTTAATTATCATATTATTTTTAGATGCATACACCTTTATGGCTTCCAACCATTAAAAGAATTTAATTATTAGCTAGTTAATACAGGGCAAGTTAAACCCAACGTAATAGCTCCATAAACTCTTCTACATGTAAAAAGATTCAAAATTTTGACCATTTTGTCACCTATAGCTCAACCAACATAAAGTTACATCAATTATTACTCACTTGTATATACCATAAGAACAACACCTACCATCAAAAATAGTTCATAACTTCAAAGAGGATTAACCAATTTCAGTAAAACTTACCTGGTAACAGGGTATTTATTGGATGCTTACATTTGTATGGCTTCTAAAACATTATTGAGCTTATTATTTAGACAGTAAAATACTCATAAATCGGTGTTTTATGACACATTGTATAATAAAGACAGCCCACCAATTTAAGAGTTATGATACAATGTCAAGATCCCCATTTTGTATATCTTAAAAAGATTCATAGTCAGTACATCCATTTCCCCATCATATATGCAACATTAAACCATTCTGTGGAACCAGCCACAGCACTTAAAATCTTTCTATACCACTGTTCTGTTCCGTCTTCATTGCGCCACCTGTGTCTGATACTTTTGCCAATGGGTGTTTCTTGATATTCATGGGTCTCAAGTTGACCTGCAGATTCTTCTGACTCTGGGAGTAATTTCTGAAGGTTGGATATCAGCTCTTCAATAGAAAGTAGCTTTCGATTCTTTGAGAAAACGAACAGATCTTTGTCTGAGTGGGTCTGCTCCAAAATCTTTCGTCAAAAATTGATCAGTGCTTTTAGACCTTCACCTTCGCACTTAGTTTTATGTTATGCAAGACCATGAAAAATTTCGTCTGGTGACTGCCAAAGTCCACACTGAACTATGTCTTGAGTTAAATGTTCTTTCTGACGCAAACACTTTTCCTCAGATTTCTGAAGTGCTTTTTGTTTTGTCTGAAGTAACTGAATCCGGTCTTCTTGCAATTTCTTTTTTCTTTCAGTATATAATCGCTTATACTCAGGTGCAACTTCTCGGGCTTTTTGCATTAATTCCGCTACCTCAGCTTTGGTCTTTGAATGGAGCCATTTAGCCGTCTTGTTTTTTGGGAACAGGACCATTGCCTCAAGTGCAAGTGTACTTGCATTGGGTTTTTCACGTAAGAGGTGATCCAATTTTGCAAAGTCACGCTCACTTACTGTGTTTATTTTTGGTACAGATCTAGTGTCATTTTGGAGTTGGGGAGTCAAGTGGTCATACATCCTTCCTGATAGGTGATCACTAAGGAGTCTTGTCAGAAGACTTGAGAAATAATCTGAAGAATCTCTAGTTATGGCATCTGAGCTTGAAGGAGCTATTAAGCTGTGCCAAACAGCATCTTCAACAGGAGGGAAATCAGGATAGATAACAGCTTCACCATGCAGTAAAATACTTGCATCCTGTGACCTCTCATGCATGCTTGCAACGAGAGTTTGGTAGTAACCATTCATTTCTAAAATTGAAATATCAGCAGCCTCCAAATCTCGCCAAAGTGGATCAGTAACAACCTTGTTGATAATGCCCAATACTCTGCATCCTGCTATGTACTCTGGACCACAAATGTCCTGCAAAACAGCTCTAAGCAATTGGTTAGGAGTTTGCCAGACGCTTCGAAAAAAATGATATTACAATGTCAGATAGATAGTACAGCACCCCAGCATCATAAAATAATATGTTAAATCGGTCTGACCTACTAGAGATGTACTGGTCTGTATCCAGTCAAAATTGTGCAGTGTTTTAGTATTAGATTCTTAGCCTTGTTGTTGTACAGGTGAACAGAGTAGATTTCTGATCTATTGTAGTCGGGAATGTCGTTAAAATTTTCCTTGTAGAGTTGATTGATTCCGTTGGCATCCCAGCACATTGGGTGGAACCCTTTTTTCCAAGGAACCACCAGCACACCCTCCTTCTCTTTGTCTAAACCCCTGATGAAAGATGACAGTGCATTGACAGAATGATGAACCCACCCACCATTGAATCTCTCAGCTGTAGTGAGCAAATCTGCACACCAGACAGCTGTGTTTCTGTGCCATCATTAGAGCCACATTCAGAGCATAGCGACACTGCTCGGCCAGTACCATTTGGTGCTTGAGGAGAGGGTCGAACGAATTCAAACTAAGAATATCAATGTCCATGTATATCCCTCCACTGTGATAGAGGATGGAGAGACGAAGAAAGTCAGATTTATGTGGTAGAAGTTTGATGGGAACACGATTCAAAACGTTAGCCCCAGGCAATGTGTGAATGATTTGGTGGTCAATGTATCAGGAAAGGTGCAAGAGGGTTTCGCTTAATACCATTTGATACTAGAAAAGAAGTGAAAGATTGATAAACACCACTTTGTTCACTCCCATGCTTTGATAGTGCCTTACAAGCTGTTCGCACTAAACGCACTATTCCCGACTCATTCTTTCTTCTGATGACAGAAGATGCCGTGTCAGCAGCTCCATGAAAATGAGCAATTTCCCAAATAAGCAACGCGGAGGAAGCTGAATCAGCCATGCCCACAAGAACATGCATGCCACAGAAAAAAGGTGTGCTGATGCTGTTTTGCTCATCTGGTGTCATCGTCTCCAAAGATTGTATAACAGTGGGAAGAATATCGCGGCGGTAATCTTCCAGGAGCTCATTGAATTTTTTTCCTACTATGTGACGGTCAGACATTGTATTTTTATCTTTGATAGTAAAATACTCCCTGACTTTGGCCCAGCACCAAGTTCCAAATCAGAAAGGATATGCTTGAAAGTGTGCAATACTTGAGAAGTTGAACCAGCTAGCATTTCAGTTAAGCCTAGAGAATATGCACTATCACAAGTAGAAATCTGAAAGGAATAGTAATGCTGTCCATACTTCGAAGTACCATCACTATGAAGGGTAACACACTGTTCATTGCTTAGTTCTTCAGCTAACTGCTGGCAGGCTAAGCCTTTCATTTCAGCCAACATACGTACAAGAGATGATGAATGTGGTAGTTCTTTGACCTCAATTGATGCAATGTGCTTAAGAACACATCTAATAACAGCATCAACATTTTTAATACCAACATTCAAAGCAAGCAGTTCCATACAGCATTGCCTTACATTATCCAAATACTTTTGTCTGTGTTCTTTTGTTCCAAACGTTTGTGATTCTAACTCCTCAACACGTTGCAATAGACAATCACGTTCATTTCCAACAAAATCTAATGTACTCTGTAACTCCATAGCTTTCTTGTTCAGCTGCTTAGCGTATTCACTTAATGATTTACATTCTCCAACGACATTCATAATCCGCTTTCGTGTATTAGATAAGTTCACTTGATGGCGCTTTGACACTTTTTAGCCCTATGGAGCTCTGCTTCAACATCCTCTCTCTCCTTAATCTGCTCTTTTAACCTTGCAATAGCATCATCTCTCCGCCTCAACTTTTTATTTACATTACGCACACTCAATAATATACTCAATTTTTCAGTAAGCTAATCTGTTTTGGGAACTTCTAAATCGTAGCAATTTGTAAGTTCCACAGCTATTGTTTTGTTTGTAAGAGCTAGTGTGTCAACATCAAAGGTACTATATGTGGCAGACTTGGGAGGAATGGTGACAATCTTTACAGCAACATTGGTATTAAAAAAAGGCTCCATGCTTATTTCATGCACTTTCTCATGCTTTTTGTTACACTTCAGTTCTTTCACCTTGTTCTCTAATTACCAATAATGAGGGTATTGAAGCAGTGGAGCAAATGTACTTTAACCAGCTGTCAAGCACATCCCAAGCAATATTATTTTGCCTTCTAAATGCATTAAGCTCAAGAACAATCCCCTTGTTCATTACTTTCCCCTCCAATACAGGTAAAGAGCGTGTATCAGTGAGAAGAGCATCAGTGAGTATACAACTCTCCAAACAGTAAGGGCCAGGATAATCAAGTGCTGCCATACTCTGTAACTGAAAAGGCATTGCTAGTAAGGACTATAGCTACTTTTGGATTCTTTAGACAAACCTTCACACGTACGCAGATCAACACCACGACGACAAGCCAGCCCATGGACGCTGGATCCTCAACCCTCAGTCCATGCAGTCGCAAAGATGTGTGGCCTGAATGACTGAGCGGAATATGCTGTCACGTCAACGCGTTCTAAAAGACGCCCGCAAGCGGCCGACAGAACGTATTTTGACAAAAGAAGGCGCAGCAGAGAAATACGACTTATTTTGGGTTCAAAGCTACATCAAATCGTTCTTTACTCGACTATACATCCTGCCTGAAAAGAGCAGTTTGCTTCAATGACGATCCGGAGCTAGTAGTGTGATGTTTAAAATTCCTTTGCATTTTAGCGTATACTACGTTATCTCGTGCATGTGTAGATAGCTGTAACAGCAATAGTCTCCCCCGCTACATACGCTATACCAAAAATTATTGTATATTGACACCACTTACTTCGAAATAGGCGCGTTTACATAAAAACAGTCCCCAAATTTGAATTCAGGGGGTCCAATTTGCTCGGAAGCGAAATTTGGTTTTGAACGGAAGTTTACGTAACTCTAGATTAGAGCGTAACTCCGGATATCCTTGATTCTCTTCGAACAAATTTTGCGTGATAGATGCAGTCGTCCGCTCCACACCGACCGGCGGTAGTAAGACCATGCTAAATTTTCGAGGTTGGAAATCGCTACTGTGGGCCCGTAGACTATTGCTAGTGTGTTTTGAAGGCATAGAAAGTCGTTCTCGCCGAGTTTTGTGAGATTTTTTTGCACGCGGATCACGTGAGATTTCACCTAATTCGGCTTCTGCTTCTTTTTTTAGAGTACCGGGTAAAAGTTCACAAATGTGAGAGTTTTCTTGACGTTTCTAGAAGTGTGTAAATGTACAACATTTTGTGACCGAAAGGGTTAAATAGCGTCTACCGACGCTCTAATGAAGTGGTGATTTTTCATGGCATTGTCACAGTGCGCCACGTAAAATATTGCGTCCAGTAATCACTACTGTGAAATGTTATAGCATTGATGCTGGCACTACAGCAGACATTACAAGCAGTTTGGGAGTATATATAGATTTTGTGTGTGGCTAAGAAACTATCATCTGTATGAGGGAAATTTGCATAGTTCAACACAGATGCTGTAACTACTGAAGACAGTAGCTAACTGGATTATTTGTAATGTTTCCACAACATTAAAACTGTCCCAGAAAAGTGATCAATCTGCATCCTCACTCCTCGAGCTAATGAAGATCACAAGTATAAAACAGCAAATTAAGGTTATGAGCAGGGGGCCCCACTAGGGGCATATGCCCTTCCTTCCAAAACCATCACGTAGGTTAGAGCGTCGGTTGACGCTGGATGGCATGGTTCAAATCTCACGTGATCCGCGTACAAACCCGCATAAAGCTAGCCTCATAACACACACCCAATGACTCACGAATCCTTATCTAGCTGTCGATGTTCCCAAGAAGCTCTTACGCGTCTTCAGGACTCCCCACGATAAATTCGCTCGCACGCGATTTCCTTCCATCGTCTTCTTCAGTGAACGACCTAGCTAACCCCCTACTAGATGTACTAATATTTTCTCAAAACATCTTGTAGCTCGGCGATGGTGTGCATCGAATGCAAGCGAACATTATTATCCTACCACTAGCACCTACGGCTGATCGTGGAACTCTCAGCAGTGCAAGACGATCAAAGACCTTGCTGCATATTATCCGCAGTGAGGGCGTTGTCCCGGCGGTACGGAGTCGCGCGTTCTGGAGAGTGTTCAGCGGCGACAATAGAGGACGGGAGACTGATGGGGAGCTTCTACTTCCTCGACTGTTCTAAAGCAGAGTGCTTAGTCCCGCTTGGGCACGTGAGGTAGGATTCGGCTATAATCGGCCCCTTTTCCGCTTTATACAATCTATTCATGAGACTGCCTTGCTTATAGAGCGTCGCCGCGGTTTGATGGTCAACCTCTGCACAACGTTTGTAATGCCATGTTGTCAGAGCCGAAAATGATGGAAAAACATGTGGAAAATTAAAATCATTTCTTCAAAATGAAGGGGATTATAGGGATGGCTCGAAGCACCAAAAGGAAGGATAAAGTAGTTAAACAGCAAACACACACAAAACTACACGATATACGCGACTTCTTTGTCCTATAGAGTCATAAATCTTATACCAGACAAAGATATAGGGATGTCTCTGTGTAGCTTTGTATGTCTTTGCTGTTTAACTAACCCTTATTCCTTCCTTTTTGGTCCTTCGAGCCATCCCTATATAGTTACCCCTTCATTTCAAAGATTAATTAATGAGTTTTTCCACTTGTATACACACACTGATGAAAATTAAAACATTAATAGTTCCTGCTCTAATGAGCACAGCCATAGGCCTGATTATCTGAGAGATGGAAATTATTGAGAGATGGCACATCATAGATATTCCCTGGGTGATCCTCCTGTCGAATGCTTGTCTTTAGCAGACACCACATTCCACAGCAGCCGATGACCACACCCACTGGCAGGACCACCACCAGTAGAGAGATGGCCACTGCAATACCTGTAGCTAGTCCCACTGAGAGACCATTATTACACTCCTCTGATCTGTTCTTCCTGGGTGCTGCATCGTGTGTGCTGACTTCAACAGTGAGAAACAAACTACACTGAAGAGGACTTACTGAGAGTTGGTGCTGAATCGGATGGTTGTGTTGGCTCTGTTGCAGTCTCTGGAGGCGATATGCGTGTTGACCAATTACACACATAGCTATACATAGTTAACTCACATAAGGCAATGTGGCACAAATTCAGAAACGGTTGCTAAAAGAAACAGCATTCTTGTATAGTGCACCCATGTAGAAAAAACCATGATGCCAAACAGAAAAAAGATGTGGAGCTCTGGACAGCTGTTTCGGGCTTGTTGGCCCTCATCAGCAGAGCATACCGCAACTTCTCCCTCTGGCATCACGAGTTTATAAAGGCTACCAGGAGCGCAGCGCTTATGGTTCTGACTAATGAGATTCATCCCCACAAGGCTTTGCCACTGGTATGTGCTGCTGACCATGCCCAGACATCCATGCATAACTAATAGGTGGATTTTGAACAGTCATAGTGAAGGTATATACTGCGCTCTTTATAAACTTGGGCCTTATGTACTGACACATTGCCTATAGCTAATGCCCACAAAAACACTTACAAGAGTATATAGCTTTGTATCTATCAGCTTGTCATTTTGAGAATGAGAGGAGAAACTATCTTCAGCATACATAGGAGTCACACTTATTTTTAGCTACTCACTGAAGGTCTGAATGTTGGAAGAAGAAGAGTTCCCAGAGTCTCCATCGTCCACAAAGACCAGGAGACTGTACTCAGTTCCCTCCTCCAGCTCTCCACTGACCATCTCCTCAATACACTCACTAGTGTAGCCACTGCTGTAGTTGAACTCTCTGGACAGCTCTAGGACTGGGTCTCCTCCATGAGAGATGACAACTCTGTACCTCACTCTCTGGAACACACACAACACTGGGAGCTGGAGGGAGAGGAATGCATACACACTGATGAGACTACACGAGTAGAAATTATCGGGCTAATGAATGATAGCAAAACAACTGAGATAATATGAGAAGGGCAGACCCACCTTTACACAAACGACAATCTCTTGTTTCCCACCCCCCAGGGACAGCGTTTTCACCAGCTCTATGGCAGGAGCTGGACTGGCTTGCACTGTGGAGTGTTGAATAATAGCAACTCTCTTAAACAAGAGGAATACACATTTCAGTTGGAAAAAGCTGTGGACACATGATCAGTGGAAACCAGTTGCATTCACTGAACAGAACGGAAGATAGCTTACTCTTAGGGAAAAAGATGTCAGTGATGGAAATGTTGCTCTGGTCTAGAGCATTAGAGGCTGTCACAGTACACTGGAGAGTGTAGCAGTCTGAGACACATGGAGGTAGATCCACAGTGTGACTGACAACTGGTTCATATAGGATGTCAGTATCATTGAGTGTCATGTCATGAATGATCCTCTCAGACTCAGTCTCTCTGCACACAATATCATATCCAGTGATGGGGTAGTCCTCCCAGGTGAAGGGGTGTGGCCAGGACAGCACAATCTCTTTCTCATCTCGGTCAACCTCATACCCCACCTCTGGCTCCCCTGGTCCGCCTGGAACAGGACAATGTTTGTAACGTTTCACAGAGTAGTAGCTATTCTTTCTCTACATACCTTTTATTGTCAACGTTGCTTTTGATGAACTCCCTCTACCAAGGTCAACATCATAGCACTCCAGTAAAGTGTTGTTATGTTTTTCAGATGCAGTTATGTTGATAGTGATGTTTGTGAATGCCATATCATCATCCACAGTGGAACCAATTTCTGTAGTAACAATTATATCAAGATCGTGAAAGTCTAGGCTCTTGACACTTCCGCCAATCCTCAGTCTCACGTCCTCATATCTTCCCTGTATCTGACAGAAGAAGTGGGCCACATCTCCCAGGACCACTGTCTCATTCTCCAGTGGAACCAGAATCTCTGCAGGTGACAGTGATTCATCTCTACACTGTCAGCATGCACCCAGAGAGGCTGGTGGCTAGATGCTATACTGCTGACTGAATACTCTACCCAGCTTTCCTCCACATATCCTTGGCTATCTAGCTACCTCTCATCCCCCAAACCAAGCCCAAAACTCCGATAACCCACTACCAGTCACCAGCTGTGGTCAAACAAAAAGCTCCCTAGCTAATAATTATACCAGCAAACAGACAGGATGCACTTATACGAATCTTGAAAGTCGTGCACGTTGGACAAAACAAAACTAAGACCTCGCGAGCAAAGTAATGCAGCAAAGCCTTAGCTATCGTTTATGTTTCTTTCTTTACACGGCATTCAAAATCACAGATCAAAAAGAAACAAGAACTATTTGCTGCCCGCGTGTATATACAGACGATGTTGTGTCGATCATTGTTATATAATTATATACTTGCAGTAGTGGTGTCAGCCTGGCAGGAGAGAGACAGTGCTAGCAGGGCTGAGAGGACTCCTCTGGAACCTACAAGACTCCGAGCTTCTCATCATCATGGTCCTCTTCTAACAACACCGCGCCGCCAGATGTTGCGCTGCATGTTTTGCGCGCGCTTTCTGACAATTAATGCGCGAGAAATACGTATGGCTCTACAAATTCAAACATGAACTTAGTTCCTGCTCTTATTAGCAGAAGCCATAGGCCTCATCAGAGAGAGGGAAAGTATTGTAAATGAGAGACGGCACATCATAGATATTCCATGGGCCTGGGAGATCCCCCTGTCAAATACTTCTCTTTATCAGGCAACACATCCCACAGCAGCCAATGGCCACACCCACTGGTAGGACCACCAGCAGGTGAGATGACTACTGGAATACCTGTAGCTAGTCCCACTGAGAGACAATTATTATTACACTCCTCTGATCTGTTCACGCTGGGTGCTGCATTGTGTGTGGTGACTTCAACGGTGAGAAACAAACTACACTGAGTTGAGGCTGAATCAAATTGTTGTGTTGCCACTGTTGTTTTAAGTCACTGGAGGTCCTGGAGGTGTATATATTATACTAGTGGGTGTGTGTTTGTCACTTATTTATAATTATACTTACCGACTCAAATGTATATAAGCATCTTATGCCCACAAAACACCCCCCAAAGGTTTTGTGTCACTTGCCATTTTGGGAATGGATGGGCAAACAAATCTTCAGCATAGCTACAAAGGAGTCACACTGATTCTGTATAAATAGAGCTATTCACTGAAGGTCTGAATGGGGGAAGAAGTGTTGCCAGTGTCTCCATCTTCCACAAAGACCAGGAGACTGTACTCAGTTCCCTCCTCCAGCTCTCCACTGACCATCTCCTCAATACACTCACTAGTGTAGCCACTGCTGTAGTTGAACTCTCTGGACAGCTCTTGGACTGGGTCTCCTCCATGAGAGATGACAACTCTGTACCTCACTCTCTGGAACACACACAACACTGGGAGCTGGAGGAAGGGAAAATGAGGTGGTTGCTGATGAAATGAAAAGCACTAAATCCCTCGGCGGCATTGTACCACGCATGTGGGTTGGGCTATGTGTATAGCTTAGTATAGCAAAATATTCTGTCACAATCAGAGTGTGTGACTCTAGGCCAATGAACATGTTAAGAAGACTCAGACTGGCTTTACAAAGCAGGCCTGAAATGAGAATAAACAGAGAGCATGTCCTAAAGCCAAGGAACATGAAAATCGAAGAAGGACAGAAACCATCATCATCTCATCAAATCACAACACAGTTATGATCACGCGGAAATCAGACAAATCATACAACAATTTGGTTCCAGGACTGAGATTAGGACCATCAATGAATGAATGGCTCAAGTATCAGAAGTAACCTGAAAAGTCGGAGATACAGATTAACAAAGTTAGACCTGGGAACAAGGGTTGTTAGCTAATGCGTGCGTGTGCGTGCGTGTTCTGAAGGGCAGAAGGAAAAAGGCTCTGTAAAACACGTGCGAGGCTAGCGTTCATCTGCGCTAACCCAGACCTTTGGTTGGCATCCATTATACAGCTTTCCACGGGACAACGACGAATGAAGCCACACTGAGCTCAGTGACTACGCATGCTCGATACGTACGAACGGCATGCGAATCACAAACGCGCTCGCCAGTTTAGGCGCGGAGGGATCGGTACAATTACCCGCGGTTGGTGCAGTCGGGATACCCGCTCAGCCAGCTATAATCAGCGTTTCTAAACTAGCGTTTAAGTTTCGCTGCACTCTACGCTCGTCTTCCGTTGATGGTATGCCTCCGCAGTGCACAAACAGCAAAAAAATCCGGTGGAGGCAAGCCAGTACTAAATAGCATTATATTGGCTTGTTAGCTTGGTTTTCAAACGCATTGCTTTTAGGAAAATCGCCAAATTTAAAATCAATGCTGAACCTTTTTGGGTCGCTCTTTCGTTGTCTCGTTGTGCGTGGTGGCAGAAAACGTGGTAACAGAGAGACAGACACACTTACAGACCAAGTACCGTAACCCTCGCTGTGCATGCGCGCCGAGGGTAAAGAGTATTGAACCCCGCTCTTACACAAAATGGTAATCCCTGGCTGTCCATCGCTCAAAAGAGTCAGTTCAATGGCAGGACTCAAGGTAGCTCTCACTTCATAGCAGCCTTTGTTACTCTTTTGGACAATAATCAGAGTTGGTTAGAACATTAGTAGTTGCTGACATCTGTCCATAAATGCAACTTGTACTACATACTAGTGAGTTATGACAAACAATTTTCGCAAGTAAGGTATGCTGAAACTGACAGAAAACGTTCAATCAAGGAGAGGAGCAGAAAAATTATGCATTTAGCTATAACTAAGAAAACCTTCCAGCAGGGATTACTGCAGTTCCTGGAGAACTCCTTCCTTCACTGTTTGTAGCAGATACTTGGAGAACCAGGTCAGACCAAAATTCTCCAGTTAGCTACAACTGAGATCTCTGACTCTCACTCAGAGTGAAAGTATATATTGGTGAAGGTGTCACTGGTGACTGAGACCGGTGCTGCTCACACTGTTAGGAGTATTAAGAATATTATGTCTATCTTCATTTCTTATGCTTTGAAACGTTCTTTGGGACAATTGCGACCGCGCCAGCGCCGAGGGGTTGGGCTCGCAGAGAGCAAAATCTGTAGCTAGCACCAAAGAACAAACAAAAAACTAAAACTAGCTATTGTCTTTGATTGCCAGAGGCATATGCCTGGTTATGAGTCACAGTGATAGCAGACTGAATAGGAACAGGCTCATCATAGTGTGATTCCTCTCTGCTCTCACTTCCCTTGTCACTGAAGTGATGTCGTCTTTCTCTCTCCCTTATCAGACACCACATTCCACAGCAGCCCAGGAACATACCCCCTGGCAGGACCACCAGTAGAGAGAGGACAACTGCAATACCTGCAGTTATTCCTATAAGACATCTCTCATCACTTTTCCTATGATCGCCATCACTCCCTCCATTGTTTCCTCTGCAGAATGCTAGTTTAAACACATTTTCATTTCCTGTACAGGGATTGATGAGTAACAAAACTCACTGAAGGTCTGAATGGGAGAAGAAGAGTTCCCAGAGTCTCCATCATCCACAAAGACCAGGAGACTGTACTCAGTTCCCTCCTCCAGCTCTCCACTGACCTTCTCCTCAATACACTCACTAGTGTAGCCACTGCTGTAGTTGAACTCTCTGGACAGCTCTAGGACTGGGTCTCCTCCATGAGAGATGACAACTCTGTACCCCACTCTCTGGAACACACACAACACTGGGAGCTGGAGGGAGAGAAACACTGATGAGACCATCAGAGGGAAACAACAGGCTAACCTCCACACAAATGAAAATTCCTATCTTGTTGTCCTGGAGCTTTGTTTGCTTTACTGCTAGAATTCTACATCTCAGGTTAGTTTTTACTGTGTGTGGAACAACATGTACAGATTACAGAGAGCATGTATAGCTATATACCACTTACACGAACGAAACGAAAAGTTCGAAACCGAAGGTGTACCATCTAAGGAGTTGAAAGCTGTCACGGTACACTGGAGAGTGTAGCAGTCTGGGACACATGGAGGTAGATCCACAGTGTGACTGACAACTGGTTCATTTAGGATGTCAGTATCATTGAGTGTCATGTCATGAATGATCTTCTCTGACTCAGTCTCTCTGCACACAATATCATATCCAGTGATGGGGTAGTCCTCCCAGGTGAAAGGGGTGTGAGCCAGAGACAGCACAATCTCTTTATCATTCGTAAAACCTCATACCCACTTCTGGCTCCCTGTCCCTTTCATCCTGCCGAACATTATAAGGAAAGGTCACATAAGAATAGCAGATGCATACTCTCACTCTCAGTTAGTGTTCCACTTGAGGAACTGACAGCAATCGTTTGATAGGTGACCATCATAGGCCACTCAATCATTGTCAGAGTTTGCGCTTCCCTTGTGGCAGTGATGCTCGATACTAATATTAGACTGACAGAGAGTCGTTCATTCTTGCGTGCAGGACTTGCACTCCAATGACAGATCAGGAGTAGATGAAAGAGTGCCATGGAAGACGTCAATTGAATCCTCGTCTCAGTCGTCTCCTCGTCCCCAAGGCAGCTGACAGACGAAGTGTGCTTGTTCTCCCCAGGACAACCGTTATAGGTTCCCCATAAGGCTTCAGTACTTATGGAGGCGGAAAGATTATGAATTGCCACCGTTACAAGATGGGAGAATGTTTACAATACTACGCATCTGACGTGAAAGTGTAGATTTATCAATATGCATTATAATCCATTTTCTAGTTCAGAGCTCTAGAGCGATAGCTACGTGATTGCTAGCTAGAATTATGTGACAGCCACATGAGCGTTCTAGATAGCTAGGTACTTCATTTCCTCGCAAAGACAAGTAGCATATAAAACTCTGCCTAAATGTGCCGCACTACGGAAACTAGCAGGCCAAATGTAGTAAGGCAAAACTAACTGCGGATTGTTCCTGGCACATGATCTCCACGCGAAAAAAAAAGAGCACCAAAACATAATTTAGCCTCCGAGCACACATAATTGGTTAATATTAACAGGTGAATGTGTAATTATTCATTCCTGAGGGTTTTTGCAGAAACACCCGTAGTAGGCGTGGTATAGGTAATTTGTAGCCTAGTTTTGCTCATCTTCAAAGGCAGTGGCGTATCCAGGGGAGTGCTTTGGGTGCTCCAGAACCCCCCTTGCGCCACCACTTCAACATACAAGAGTTACCCGCTCGCATGACTAGGCTCACTACTACCGGCGGCGTCCGAGTCGGCGACCCGCGGGAGCGTAAAAACGGGCGTGGCACTTAGCCGCGCAAGCTAAGCGCGTATTGAACCCACGCAGGCAGTTCGAATTTGCTAGGCGTCACCTGAGGAGGCTACAAATGGCTCCGTGCTGAACAATGACGTGTATATATACAGCTGAATAATGACTTCACCCCGTTACCCATTGTATCATTTTGCGACGAGCAGGTTCGCGCGCTCCCAGCACCCCCCTAATGTAAATCCTATAAACGCTACTGAAAGGCACCGCCGTGGTAGTATTCCCAGTAGGCTTGAGTCTATTATGCTCAGCATTCCTAGCTATAATGCTATTCCTTAATTTTGTTTAAAATTGCTATTATTCCTATGATATTTTTGCTATTATTCTCAAATTATGCCCACTTCAATGCAACAAGGAAGAACAAGACACTATATAAAACACATTACATTAGCGGTTATTGTATTGTAATTGTACAGAAGCTTCAATGTAATCTTCAAGTGCATGTTGCTGTCTGTCCCCAAAGGAGCAGTGCAAAATTGAGAAAACACGCTCTGCTGCGGCCGAAGATGGTTGCACCAGTACTATCTTGCGAGTCGCCGTCTCTGTACGATAGTCACATGTTTGACCCTCATTGACCCTTGAACCATGGTTGCGCGCATGCGCATAAATGGCGATCTTGCTATTATGCTGGCATTATTCTCGAGCGTGTTTAGACTGCTAAAATGCTCAAATTATGCCGAGCATAATCGACGCATGCCTAATTCCCAGTACCCAAGCCGCCAGCACGTCAATACTCATATCCCCAGGATGTGTTAATTGAGTATATGAGTATTCGCTGGTTGGGTAGCCACAGTTTACACAACGATCTAATGAGCAAACAATGGCCAGTGACCTTTCTTGGCTGTAGGCTACATCCCAAGCTGGCAGGCAAGGGAAAAGTGGCGAGCCAGTAAGCGAGAAGATGCACGTGCAAGCCAGAAGCCTTGCGTCACTTGCCGTGTCGTTTTGAACACGCTGTTCAAAAATATCAGGCTTAGCTGCACCCGCTTTTAATGCCGCTTTACCTCTCCATAACAACGCAAGCCTCTTAACTGCTGTAATCAAAGAAAAGTGGCTTGACAAAGAATGAGGAAAAGTGACCCTATTTCCTCATTCCTTGTATATCCTGTAGTGATTATAAGGTTGCTACGATATTTGTGAGCCTTCCCCATGTGTGAATGCAAGGTGGTCAAAGTAGAGGTTAAGTTGTAAGAATATCTGTAAATCTCACTCTTGTGCTTAGCTATAATTATACTCAAGATTTTACATATTACTGGGTGGTTTAACAATGCTGTACCTCTGTATAGTAATTAATTATTACAATAAGTGGTGGTATAATCAAGGAAATAGGAAATAGATAGCAGCATGCATGCAATACAGTGTTAGACAGAGGGTCACAAGACCTCTCAGCCTGAACAAACATTGTGCACGCTGCCAGAGGACCACTCTAATAATATTTAAAGAAGTAGCTAAGTCTTATGCACACTACACTACACCAAGAATGAAGAAAATTTTATTTCCTCATTCTTTCTTCAGTTCTCTAGTTTCCTTATGGTAGCTACTATATAGATCTCCCCACCCCCGGTCGGTCAGTGATACATACTTAGGGTAACTATTTATCTGTACCAAGTCCTAACAGACGGTATGCGTAAACTTTCTTTTTTGTGACCAGCATACTCAACTACATGAGTAGCTAGCTCAATAATAAAAGACTAATTAAGATTAGGGAGACCCAGTCCTAGAGCTGTCCAGAGAGTTCAACTACAGCAGTGGCTACACTAGTGAGTGTATTGAGGAGAAGGTCAGTGGAGAGCTGGAGGAGGGAACTGAGTACAGTCTCCTGGTCTTTGTGGATGATGGAGACTCTGGGAACTCTTCTTCTTCCAACATTCAAACCTTCAGTGAGTTTTATTACTCATCAGTACAGGAAGTGAAAATGTGTTTAAACTAGCATTCTGCAGAGGAAACAACGGAGGGAGTGATGGCGATCATAGGAAAAGAGATGAGAGTTGTCTTTTAGGACTAGCTGCAGGTACTGCAGTACTGGTGGTCCTGCCAGTAAGTGTGGTCCTGGGCTGCTGTGGAATGTAAAGACAAGTGTTCGACAAGAGGATCTGCCAGGAAATATCTATGATGTGCCATCTCTCATTCACTCACTCCCCCCCTCTGATGAGGCCTATGGCGTCTGCTAATAGGAGCAGGAACTAACTTGATGTTTGAATTTCATCTGTAGTGGAGCTTGTCATATTTAATCCCCTGAGGCGATTTACATTCAGATACCCAAGAAATGTGGGATCTGGGTTGGAGGGTGCATAGTTGGGATTCTTGAGGAGGCATTATTGTCTCACTGTATGTGTGTATAATGACGCTCTGAGAGGGATGGTGTGAGGGGTTCCGTCTGTGTCTCTGTGGGGGAAGTGTTGTGGATTGTATAAAATTTCATACCTGGCTTTCTCGATTGAATGTTCATTCCAGCTGTACAATCAGCGTTGTTTCTAGAAATATTTAAGGAGGGGGCAAACCATAATCCAGACAACCTCACTTAATTATTGACTTAAGAGGGAGCAAATTTGCCCCCCCTCTCCCCCTAAAAAAAAACCACATGCATAAATATAGTGGGAGACTTCTATGAGAAAACTTTCCACAAATTTTGCTGTTAAGGATGCACACATCAGTATGACTGATATTGAACACAAACTATGACATCCCGACTATGTATACTGAGTACATGCCATTAACATGATTATCAGAGCGTCGGTAGACGCTCTATGTAGGGACGGCACGAGTGAAATCTCACGTGATCTGCGTACAAAACGCCTCAAAACTCGGCGAGAATGGCTAGCTATGCCTTCAAAACACACCAAAAATCACTCACGGGTCCATATCTACCTATACATATGCCCAAAAGTTCCATACGTCCCTGCAATTCTCGACACGAGAATCCGCTCATACGCGATTTCTGGTTTTCGTGTCATCATAATATTCTTCATCTTCTTCTTCTTTAAACCCGCTATCTCCTTACCAGTACCAGTTGAAGCGCTGATTTTTTCACTGAACGTCTCCAATTTCGCCGGAGGTGTGCACGGACATCAAGCGATCGTTTCTTTCTTGCCGCAAGTCACTACGGTAGATCATGGAGCTCTTCCATGGTCGACACTGAACAACGCCATTTGCTGCTAACTCAGCATCGGTGAGCCGTGCGCATGCGCCAAGCAGGGGCGCGGCGTTAGAGCGGACCACGGGGTCCCCGCTCGCCTGGGTTTGCTCCCGAATTTGGGCCTAGCTATCCGTCTTGTGGTAAGGAGCTACTGTTGTGTGTACTTTAGCTAGCTGCAATCCAGCTCATTGCTTTTGCATTTTCTTTCGAGGTTCCACGCGACGGCCACGACTTCACGTGGCCACCCCCACGTGACACTCCGTGTCTGTCTTG